CTAGATCCCGTGCGATATTTGTTTTAACGACGTTGGAATGATGCAACAAGACTTTCTTGATACATTTATAGGAGATGGCGACGTAGCCGACGTAGCAGACGGAGGATCCTGTGTACTTCTAAATATCTTTTATTTTTATTGCACCTCAACACACATCAACTGGCCATCCGAAAAAATCTAAAAACAAATTGCGTAAACGGCGTCCAACCTTGCCTTTAGTTTAGCCCACACCCTGAACTCACCACCACCACCAACAACAACAATGACAACTTGAGATCCTGGCCGGAAGAAAAAATTGAATGAAAAATGGAATGAATGTTATTGTTAGTAGCTCTAATGGCGTTGTAATGACAGATAATTAGCAACACAACGTGTTAATAAAAAAGGAACTCCCTTTGTGGAACAGTTGATTTAAAACCAGTTTTCCTATCACTGCCTTCTAAGTGACTTCAAAGGAGCTGGACTGAAAGAACCTCTTTAAGCCCAGCTCCTTTGACCTGAGGGAAGTGGAGATGCTTTAAACTAGCGGCTCTGATCCAACCACTCCAACCACCTTTACTTGTGCCAAAAAAAAAAAAATTTTTATGGCCCTGTTGCTGCCAAATACCTTAGAGGATTTTGATATTCCAAACACATTCAAAAGAACAAGGCAGGGTCACACAGATCTGTCGATGTTGATGTCGATGTGTCTATGAGGAAGGATTTCAGTTATCGTTGAGAAACCCGACCTCAGACTCCACAATGACCACCTTTTGTGAGTTGTCTTTGTTGTTTTTTCCTGCAGTGAAACAGATTCCGATCTGCTCTGTAGCGGCGTTCATGGTTGTTCCTGGTAAACACACCACCGGCCTGGTCTCTGACTGACCCTCTGAGTCTGCTGCCCCCGGTGGAACGGCCCTGGTTCCACATTGGGCTGCTTCTGTTTCCCAGCTGCACAGTGTAGTGTTACAGTCACTCACTGTGGACCTGGGGAGACAAAGAGCTTTCTGTTGTGTTTGTTTCTGCCTGTGTGTGTGTGTGTGTGTGTGTGTGTGTGTGTGATGAGTTACACCCTGCTGGTGACTGATCCCACAGTCCAGACCCTCTGCCCTTCTTGGCATTTCTTTTCCAGACCTGCTCACACACTCACACCAAATGTTTAAATGACAGTGGATTTTTCAAAAAGCGACTGAGGGTCAGCCACCAGATCTGGACCTCGACCCATTTCCTGTCCACACACACACACACAGCTAGGGTCTATTCCTCAGTGCATTTTCCTGTTGGGTGGATCATTTATTTATTGTCCTTCTGTGTGTGCAGTTTTTTTTTTGTTTTTTTTTTCAAGCAGTGGGCGGTTGTCAAATGTCGCATAAACCACGTCTTAGCCACAAAGTGAGGCTCAGTTTGGGTTTAAATGTGGTTTCTGTATGTAATTATTCCTTTGTAAAAATAGTTAACTACGCCCTGGTGTCATTTGGTCTCTTTTCCTTTATTTAACTCCAACCTAAGTCAGTGTGGTCACATTGTCTTCAAGATTTAGCAGATTGTCTTAGCATTAACTAAAATGTTTTTTTAAAGCCTATAAACAACTCAAATCTGACCAATAAAAAACCTTAAAATTTATCCTTAACAAAACTACCCCAACATTTAAGGTTAGCTGAAAATAGTCGGAGCTATGCCAAAAAAATAGATACAGGTTCGTAATATATCAACCAAAATAAGCTAATGTATCTAGAATGAAAAACTAAATAGAACTAAGGTTAGCTAAGAGTTACACTTGGTTAGCTCACAGACGTTAGCTATTTCTCTGTTACCATGGAGATGAAGGCACGTCAGACAGATTCTTAGAATTAGACATAAAATGCCATGAATTTTTTTTTTCTAACATATGCACTTGAACACATCACTATTACATTTATATGAGTGTCACTGAAGGAACCCGTGCTGGTGTAAATATTTGTCCTGCACTTCCTCCACACTCACTCCAAGCTTCTTTCCTCTGCCCCCGAACCAACACACACACACACACACACATACAGAGGCCTCAAATAGTATATCAGACCATGTAGGGCAGAACACAGTGACTGGTGTGTGTACAGTCTGTAAAGTGAGGTATTTATTCTGTTTGGTGTTTGTCTTCGCCTCTTATAACATATTCTAAATTTCAGGATCTGAATAGATGTGAAATGTTCTCAGTAGAACAGAAGAAACTCTAAAGAGCAGATCAGAGAACCTCAGGGAGCTCATGACACCTCTGGGAAAGAGGGTGGGATCAGTAGATAAAAGCTCATGCGCCCAACGTGGGGCTCGAACCCACGACCCTGAGATTAAGAGTCTCATGCTCTACCGACTGAGCTAGCCGGGCTGCTGTGGAGCTGCAGGGACAGTGTGTGAAGTCATTGTCTTGACGGGTTTTAGCAGGTTCTGCAGGGCTGACCCAATGAGAGCACTGCTGCAGCTCTCACGTGAACAGGAAATGATCAAAAGAGCAATTTCTCACGTGAACAGGAAATGATCAAAAGTACTGAGCAATTAAACAAAATTACCTTATTTGCTCAATGTGTTTGAAAAGCAATTTGCACAGAAAGTCATGCGATTAATTAAGGGACATTAACTTCAACTTCGTGACTAATTATAACTTTTCTGAGAGCAACATTAACTTTAAACCTTAGCAAGGACGATTAGAAAGATGTTTTGGTGATTAGATCAGCGTCAGGCCAAAGGTCAGGCCTAGGCCTTTGGTTAATATGGGTACATCCACATGTGTCCTCACCATTACTGACACACGTGTATGTGTGTGTTCTGCTGAGGGAAACTACTAGAAGTCTGACTGTCTTTATCTCCTCTCTCCGTCTGTAATTCAATCCTAATGTGTGGTTTTCAGCGCTCCTCTTTCCTCCACCTTCATGTCATTCTCACTTTCTCCTCCGTCTGTTGTTGTTGTTGTTGTTTTTGTCGCCGCCCTGCTGCAGTTTCAGCGTTGCGTAACTACACTATAGATATTTCTGCGTGTGAGTGTTTTTAATTTAACATATGTGCCTCATTTTCACTGGCAGAACACCAAGTCTGAATCCATATGGCTCTGTTTCTACGTGGGACACATTTAGGGTTTTTCTGCCTGGCAACAACAGTTCATGTGAGGACCAGTAACCTAAAACAGAAAAGGGAACAAGGCCTTGGATTCTTTTGTTTTCACATGACGAAGACACAGATGTCAGCGCTGACTGAAGGAGGACTCGTTATTAAATGTTGACGAGGTTTCCTAGCTCTCTGAGGACTCGTTATTAAATGTTGACGAGGTTCTGGGTTTCCTAGCTCTCTGTCAGTAATTCACAGATATTTAGTTCTGTTTCATTGACAGTGACAATACTGTGCCATTTTTATGACTTTTAAGCAGAACTTTAAATAAACACAACTTGAATTGGACGTTTAGTCCCCAGTGGATGTGGGTTGAATTACCTGCCTGAGAGGAGTTACCAAAGATAGAAAACAGACATGCCCTTTTATTAGGCACTTTACGGCTTGATTATTTTACATTAACTACAAACCAAGGGAACACAGACTTAAACAGTGCAACTGCAACTTTCATTATCAGCTGATGCCAATATTAATCCGTTACCTTTGAGCCGAGCATTTGGGCTTAGGTGTGGGATCAGATGGGCTGTAGTCGTTTTATCGATCCTGAAATGATGAAATATTGTGACGATACCAATCCTGAGTGTTGGATCAAGCCATCCCTATAACAAACCATTATGTCTTATCGGAAATTGTTGATATTGTGTCCCACTGCGGCCTGGTACCAAATGACCCGAGTACCATCACGGTCCCCAAACCAGAGGTTGGGCACCCTTGATATATAACAGAAAAAATATCCACTGGTCCTGTCTTTAAAAACAACCCTTTGAATATGATGCAAAGACATCGTGTTGAATGTTGAGAGAAGAAACACTTCAAGCACAAACCTGAAGATCCAGCTGTGTTTAACACACACACACACACAGGAAATGGACGACACGGGGACGTGTGTCAGTGTGTTATCAACACATCACCACCGCGTCTGTGCTCTTCAACAGACGCTCTCGTACACACCGCTCAAAAATCAGAGGTCAAAGGCAAATCCCAAACCCGTGCTGACGTTTGTTGACAGAAAAATAACAGAGAGGAAGCAGAAAAGTGAGAAGGAGGAAGAAGAACGCCATAGGAATGATGAAGGGCGGGACGGACGCAGGACGGGGTCCACACATGTGGTTGAAGGGCTGGAGGAGGAGACGTCTGTCTCATTTCTGCGTGTGTTTTGTAAATGTGTCACCACACTGAGAATCACACACAGACAAACAGTGTCTGAGTGGATGGACATCTGTTCTCAGAGGGAGGCCTGCGATTGGCTGCAAGAAAGTTTTCCCACAGGCCCTGGCACGCAGGGCGGACCTTGAGAAGTGTTGTCTTTTCAAAAGAACCTACATTTCACAGTGCAGTGATGAGTCTGAGGAACCAGGATCAAGAAGTGTCTAGTAGAGATTTACATCAAGTACAATTGAGTCATATGATACAATAGACAGTTCCTGCTAAAATAATAAGTCGTCTTAATACCCTCTCCATTACTACAGTATTATTAAAGATTAATCAAATTATGGACCAATCCTGGGTGGTTTACGAGCCAAAAGTGGCCAGGATCAAGGGAGTTTTACATATCTGTTTTACTCTTTTTTTCATTTTTATCATTGTTTATGTCTTTTTATTTGTCTGTTTGTCTGTTTATGACATTTTATTAAAGCTAGTTTGAATTTTTAAATACAATAGTGTTGCTCTTTTATTGATAGGATATTTTTTTATGATCACCAGTAGATGAGGCTGGATGTTTTCAAACTACCAACCAACAAACTGAAGTTGATCGGGCTAGTATTAGCAGTACTAGTACCAGTTAGAAAACAAAGTACTCATGAGTGAATACTGTGTAATATACCAAGTTCAGGACAACTTTTAGTTAAAGTCGTCTCTCTTCTCTTCTCTTCTCTGCGCAGCACTTCTCTGAGCTCCTGGATGACCTCTCCCAAGATGCTCTGCTGGGCCAGCTGCTCAGCGACCCCTTCCTGTCCGGAGTGAGGGACAGCATGGAGGCCATGGAGGGCCACATGAACATAGACGACCTGTCTCCATCCTCCCCTCTGACACCTCACATCACAGCGGAGCACAGCTACTCGCTGTGCGGCGACAGTCGACCTCAGTCACCGCTGTCACACCTGACCGGAGAGCACGGCAGTGAAGCCGGTGAGACGTTCTGCCTTCTCAAAGTCCGGGGTCCTTATGTTTAGCCCGAGGCGTTTTTATCACTCACGCTCCGTCCGTTAAAGAAGACGCTGACGTCGATTAGATACGATACATTGCCTTGCAAATGCAGGATACAAAGTCAAACTCTGAGTGGAGAGAGACAATATTACCAGAGCTGTACGATGACAAATATTTGATCGACAAATACTCCACCCTGGTAGTTCCTGAACTCCGGTAGTTCTACCTCTCATACAGAGGCTTAAAAAAAAGTCACTGTTGACGTGAGAAAATAAATTGTACCTGGTACTGACTTTAGTTCCTTGCTATAGTTTTTGCTTTGGAATTCAACTGTGTTCTTTGTACAATCCTTAATGGCACCAAACAGATTCTTCTTTGTACAATCCTTAATGGCACCAAGCAGATTCTTCAAGACAAGACAATTGATTTTTAAGACTCTGTCGTCCTCAGCGTGACTTACATCAGTCTCCTGCTTTAACACCTAAAGACGCATTTTTCCAGAAACTACATTTCTGTGTTTTCTCTGTAGCAGAGTCTGACGGAGAGTGGCCCATGGAGCAGGAGGAGCCTCTGGAGAGCCTCCTGGGTGAGGCTCCCTCTCTGCTCCCCAGCCTGACTCTGTCACTGGCTCAAGCCGAGGGGCCACAGGCAAGCAAGTGTCACCCCACCGTGGCCCCGGCTGCTCCCGCTGCCACCAGCGTGGCCCCCGCGGCCCCCGCGGCCCCAGTTCAGACCACAGTGAGCAGCTCCAACCAGACCAAAGGCATCAAGGTAAAAAAAAATGACCGACTCGTGACAGAAACACAGACCGTGATGTTTTTCATTGTATTTGACAAACTGTTTTTGTCTTTTCTTGTTTGTTTGTTTCTTTTTTACAGATTAAAGAGGAGAATATAATTCCACAGATTAAACTAGAGCCACACGAAGTGGATCAGTTTCTCAACTTTTCACCCAAAGGTCAGAAAACTGCAGGATTAAGTTCACGTTAGCTGTTGTACATAATGCTCTGGTGACCCCTGCTGGCTAATACACCACACAACACAGTTCTTAAACCAAAAAGTCATTGAAACGTTCCTTGTAGGCACAGGTCTGGAGTCACTGCAGATGCCCCCTACTCCTCCCAGCTCTCATGGTAGTGATTCTGAGGGGAGCCAGAGTCCGGTCCACGCTCCTCCTGGACTCTCCTGCCCCACCTCTCCGACCAGCCCCTCTCCTCCACAGAGCAGCCTGAAGGCTTCCCCTCGAGCCTCCTCGTCCTCCTCATCTCTGTCCAACTCTCCTCTGCTCACAGCTCCTCACGTAAGTTCTCACCGTAGACTCCAGAGTCCAGATTATGTGTCACATTTAGAATTAGAAAAAAAACCAAGTGTGTTTGCTGCGCAGAAGCTGCAGGGTTCTGGACCGCTGATCCTAACTGAGGAGGAGCGTCGGACCCTGGTGGCTGAAGGTTACCCTGTTCCCACCAAACTGCCACTCACCAAAGCTGAGGAGAAAGCTCTGAAGAAGATCCGAAGGAAAATCAAAAACAAGGTAGTCAGGGAGAGAGGTTTTGTTTTGGTTCACGGTTCTTTTCAGATGTTTCATTGAGTTAATGGTCGTCTTGTGATCTCAGATCTCAGCTCAGGAGAGTCGCAGGAAGAAGAAGGAATACATGGACGCTCTGGAGAAGAAGTGAGTTTTTCTTTTTTCCCAGTGTTTCAATGTCTATCTCTTTATTTGGTCTGGTACAAAATAAAGTCATAGAAAACGATCGTGTATAGAAACTGACCCTGCAGTTCTGCTGTCTGACCACAGGGTGGAGACATGCTCCAATGAAAACAGTGAACTGCGAATGAAAGTGGAGTCACTGGAGGGCACCAACAAGTAAGAACACAACACAACATTGACAAATAAACAAACCAACACGGAATTATAAACGGGTGTGACAAAATACACACCATTCATTTACTGACATAATGACATATTTATTTGTTTGTTTGTTTCTTAGGTCACTGCTGCAGCAGCTTCAGTCTCTTCAGGCCTTGGTTGCAGGAAAAGTTCATAGATCCTGCAGAGCAGCCAGTACACAGACATCAACATGTTTAATGGTATTTATGCACTCTTTATATATGTGTGTGTGTGTGTGTGTGTGTGTGATGACAAACGTCGTTAAACAGACTGTGTGTGTGTGTGTGTGTGTAATGACAAACGTTGTTAAACAGATCTCAGTATAACTGTGTATTTGCCATCAGCTGTCAGCACATCAACACCTTCAGTTTTTGCTGGTTTTGTGTGATTCATAATTTTTCCACCCTCTCTTTTTTTAACCCTCACCTGCAGGTGGTGGTGTTGTGCTTTGCTCTGTTTCTGGGCAGTTTTTACCCCAGCAGTCTGAGCATGTGCTCCATTGTCACAGAAACAGGCCTCGCTTCTAAATCGCTGGCTGTGAAAGAATCATACACAACCACAGGTTGGTACACACACACACACACACACACAAGTTAACACACTAATGTGTGTTACTAGTTAGGTTGCTAACCAGTTAGCTGTGTAACTCAATACTCACCTCTGTATGCTACAAAATCTAGGATATTTACTGTCAAATGGCAAAAAAGCGTTAAAACAATGTAAAAATATATATATTATGTATTGTTAGCTAGCTAGGTTAGCTTGTTTACACTAGCATTTAGTACAGCCAATATCTTTAATTCCATTGAAGCTAGTAAACTAGCCAAATCTATAATTATATATCAAGTATATCTTATTGTGAGCTAGCAAGCCAACAACACAGAATATATATGAAATAGTAGGTAGGTAAACAAGCTAACTAGCCAAAATAAAGGTTTGTGAGTCTACATTGCTTAAACCTATTCTGTATACTATATTGTTAATGACTGACCAACAGTAAGTAGTTGTATTACTTACTGTTGTATTACTAATTGTATTATTATTATCCATTGTAAATGAAATAAAAAGCCTGATTTTTTTAAAATATGCTCTGATGCTAATGCTATTTAGCTTAAGCTACTGGTAAATATGTATTTAAAAATGTAATTTAATTGAAAAAGTAAAACATAAAAATACTTTTTCTAAGTGTAAGGCTTGGTTCACTGATGCTGTTAGCAGTTGCACTGTAGTGCGTCCATGATTATATTGTGAAATTATCCTCTTATTAATACATTTAAATGCTGCACTAATTGAAGGCTCCGGTGTGCGCACAAACAAAACATTTATCGTAGCAGTTACAACACAGTCAGGCTTTATTATCGGTGGACAATTCCACTGTGGAGCGCACACTCACAGTGAGTGGACGAGTCTCTTCAGTCCTGATCTGACTCCAGCTGACCTGAGCCGCTGTTTCCATTGAAGCTCGTGTCATTAGCTCTCAGTGGTGAAACCGTGGACGTCCATTAAAACGTCCACCATAATCACAGTCCACCTACGGAGCTGCACCAACAGCTACAGAGACTGATTAGAGGAGTTGACCTTTAAGTACATCCTCTCCACCGGCACCTCCCACACACACACACACACACACACACACAAGACAAACAGCTTCCTCTCAATATATGAGATAATAAATGAGTGCTGGTTCTGATGACGTCTGTGTGGGGTTGTGTTTGTGGAATGATTGCCCAATACAGTCTGTGCTTGATAAGGAGAAATATTTAGTGAAAAAAAAACAAGACAAAAGAGAACACGTGTCCCTGTGCCTGGGTATCTACTCTACCCATCCACTGGGTGGCACTGTTCTGTGTTCTTTTGTGTCTTCTCCATGTTGAAACAGAAGGGAAGTATGATAGAATACATTTTGATACTTTTAAAGGCTTTATCTTCCTTGGATCAGTGGGTGGGAACCTTGTCTTCCATCAAGATGGCATGGGTTTGAATCCAGATTTTTCAAATAGTTTCTTGAACACTTGTTAAGACACATTGTAAATGTTGAGCCCAAAGGGGCACAGAGTACAAAGGTTGTTGAAGCGATTTGTTCAAGACTGGTAAAAAAAAAAAAAACAAATTGATGAAAGATTGTCACCAAAGACACAGTCCTCTCTCTGCTCTGCTGAAAATAACAGTCTCTGTATTTTTCTCAGTCAAGTCAAGGAGTCTGCTCTCGACCTTCGAGGATGAGCAGCCCCACTTCCTCGGTCTGGGCGGTGAATATCCTGACCAATGGGAGGACACGCCGGCCGTCGTAATGGCAGCATGGCGTCACTCAGAGCAGCAGAAGTTGGGGGTGGAGCCCAGCAGGGCAGAGACACACCCACCTTACAGGAGTAAGAGCAACGATACACAGGCACCAAAGAACCTGCTGCTCGACCTGCACAGGTAAAGATGTCCTCTGAGGAGGTAAAGATGTCCTCTGAGGAGGTAAAGATGTCCTCTGAGGAGGTAAAGATGTCCTCTGAGGAGGTAAAGATGTCCTCTGAGGAGGTAAAGATGTCCTCTGAGGAGGTAAAGATGTCCTCTGAGGAGGTAAAGATGTCCTCTGAGGAGGTAAAGATGTCCTCTGAGGAGGTAAAGATGTCCTCTGAGGAGGTAAAGATGTCCTCTGAGGAGGTAAAGATGTCCTCTGAGGAGGTAAAGATGTCCTCTGAGGAGGTAAAGATGTCCTCTGAGGAGGTAAAGATGTCCTCTGAGGAGGTAAAGATGTCCTCTGAGGAGGTAAAGATGTCCTCTGAGGAGGTAAAGATGTCCTCTGAGGAGGTAAAGATGTCCTCTGAGGAGGTAAAGATGTCCTCTGAGGAGGTAAAGATGTCCTCTGAGGAGGTAAAGATGTCCTCTGAGGAGGTAAAGATGTCCTCTGAGGAGGTAAAGATGTCCTCTGAGGAGGTAAAGATGTCCTCTGAGGAGGTAAAGATGTCCTCTGAGGAGGTAAAGATGTCCTCTGAGGAGGTAAAGATGTCCTCTGAGGAGGTAAAGATGTCCTCTGAGGAGGTAAAGATGTCCTCTGAGGAGGTAAAGATGTCCTCTGAGGAGGTAAAGATGTCCTCTGAGGAGGTAAAGATGTCCTCTGAGGAGGTAAAGATGTCCTCTGAGGAGTTTGACTGCTGGAGGCTGATGTTACTTTTTTATGAGTCAGTGATTAGGTGTGAGCTATTAAAATGACTGACTCCCTATAAGAAGGTTTACTGTTGTTACACCAGCGAGAAGTTGCCTCATTTTAGCGCAAAACTGGGGAGGTTTGTAGGTGCAAGGCTGCCCTCTAGTGGTTCACTGCAACTGCCTTTTTATTTTTCCTACTTCAGGTTTAGCATTTCTGGCCATGTCAGGTATTTATTGACCATCTTTGATTTTTATCATCATTGATTTTATCATCATTGATGTCTGCAATTGATGTCTGCCCCCTGCTGGTTAAAACTGTTATTACATGGCATGTAAGGGGAATTTTGTAGGACATAATTTTGTGAGTGGGACGATGTTGGTCACAAAGTAAGCTTGATTAATCTAGATTAAAAACATTTTACTGTTAGCAGCACTTTTTGTGACATCACCGACCCAATCACACACACAATGGAATTTGTCTATTGCAAGACCTGGAAGAATGAGGAGATCTGACTTTTATATATGATGTATTTATAGCTGCAGTTGTGTCGACATCTTACTGGTGTCATTTTTAACGACTCCACATGTGAGGTCCAGAGAAATGACTGACTGACAGAAGGAAGCCGATGTTGTCTGTGAGTTGACAAATGTTGCTTGTTGTTTCCCGCAGGTCTTTGGAGCAGAACTCAAATGAGAGCAGCAGTAAAGTGTTGGAGCTACAGCGAACGGTCAACGAGACCTCCTGAGGTAGCCCTCCTCCCACCTCGGAGCCCCCCGCCCCCCAGCTTCAAACCTCACCTGCTTCACGTCACATCCCATACTGACCCTGTGACCCCTTCCTCAGTCTCACCAGAGCAAAGTTCAGTGTCCCTGGAGTAAAAACTCCCAACAGTGTAGTACTTCCTACTGCAGATGGTGTGATTAATCAGATACACTGTAGTAGAAACAGTCATAGTTATAGTAATAATAGTAAAGAAGACTGAGGCACTGGTTGTCTCCTTTCTAAATTAATAGATGCACTGAACAGATTTTTCACAGCTTTAGTCATAAATTGACCCACAAAGAAAAGAAGTGAAATAAATATCTGATCTGGAACCAAATGTAATAAAACAACGGCGTGTTTGAAGAAAATGACTAAATACGACATGTGAAGCTTTTCACAGGAGACTGAGGTGGAACTCTGTATTTATAGAACTTTTTTTGTAGTTTTATTATTAAATATTTTAATTATATTCCAGTAAGGCTTTCAGTACTTTTTTGGCTTTTTTTACTTTTCCTTTTGTTGAAACTCTGTTTTTCTATGTTTTTTTAATTGTATTCTTTTATACAGTACATTGTTTGTTGTTGTTTCGTTTTTTGTTTTTTTTTCCTTTAACTCCCCAAGCACCAGGGTTAGGTTTACTGGTACCGTTGGGAATCCTCTATGTCAGAATGGAGTTTTTTGTGTTTTTTTTTAAATGTCTGATGGAACCACAGTTTGTTTTCTTTTTTATTTCAGCTTTGCAACGTTTCGCTGCATCAAAACTCTTTCTTTTCTTCTTTAAAATGCTCTGACCCAAAAAAGAATATTTCTTTAAAAAAAAAAATTAAAATATATAATTATCTATTTTTGTAAATATCAGTTGTGTATAAATGAAAAAAAAGTCTAAATATGTTCAGGATGTGCAGTTTATATACCAAACCACATTTTTGGGTTTAATTTGATCACATGACCTTGAATGAGTGTTACGTTCAGGAAGTTACAGGTTCGTATGTCATGTCAGAGACCAAAACCAGTCCAGTGTCCGTTCATCGAGCTGTAAATATCATTTTAATCATGAGTATTTGTTTCATTGTCCAAAGAGTTTATCTCAGTCAACATGGAAAATGTACCAACAATCGTGTTGGTTTGTTAGATTCTCACCACAGGGTCTGTTTCTAATGTACGGTAACGTTATCACAAACATAATCACAGCAGAACTCGTATGAGACGTTTTCATTAATGGCTTTTCTGTTTCCTGCTGCAGTTTTGAAAGCAGTTTTTTGTTTCCGTGTGGCTTCTGTGTAACGCCGGCCTGACTTTAGCTTTTCTGTCCTTACTAGCATTCAGATGAATAAAATATTTTATGTAGATAAAGCATAATTCCTACTGTGTCTGTGTGGTCTGTTGGTACTTTTTTTTGTCACGCACACAAAGGTTTGTTTATGTATCAATTCTTTCCATTAAACTTCTAATCGAATATTTTCTTAAAATAAAAAAAAATTATTCAGTAATATTATATATTAACATATAACCCTGACAAAGGTCGAAGGGTTCAGTACGGGTCACAGGTGTCGAAGGCTGACGTCCACTGCTGTGAAATGACCAGATTGAAGGCTGACGGATTTGTCTACAAATGAAACAACTGCCTCTGAAACTACAGCCAGAGGATGAGAGGCTGTTACAGCTGTGACATGTGACACACACAACATATGGAGAGTGTGTGTGTGTGTGACAATGACACACTGACAGCGTGTGTGTTGATGCTCACACGCTGCCCTACATTTCAGACTGATGATGCTGCATAAAGGAGGAGAGAGGTGGGATATCCCACAATGCCTTGCTGCTAGTCCCCTGGGACAGAGTTTATCTAAATGTGGTGTTTTTTTCAGCCACACTGGTGTCATAACCATTTAACTGCAGGGAGCAGTGAGAGACATAGTTCTATTTCTTTTTGGGAATTGAACCTCAGACATTTGGTTGGATGACAACCCGCTTCACTCCCCTGAGTTAATGTGGATAAATAACCGCTTTGAAATGATCGTACCAAATAATCTGCACTCTGGTGTGGATCAAGACAATTTCTCTCCTAGCCTTCCACGCAGTTTTTGAAATCATCTGGTGGGTTGGTGTTATTTACGTTCTGAGTCACCATGTGTTACCCTGTGCAGTGATTGGCTACAGGCAAATGAGGCAATCTGTGAAAAAGCAGAGAGTAAGAGAGTAAGGATTAGTGTCCTAGATTGCTTTGGTAGTATGGATCCTACATTTTACAAAAAGAAAAATTAAATTATTCTAAGGACAATAATTACAGCATGTCCTGTTGATGACATTAGTTGTATAAGTATTAAAAAATTAAAAGATAGTTTGAGTTTTGGAATATATTTTTTATAACGTGGAATACATTGTAGGTTAAAAACGACAGCTTGAGGAACAAATATAACATTATTTTGCTTTTGTTTAAAGGAAGTTCGGTCTTTTATTTTGAAAAGTTGTTTTCGCATACTTCCGGGTTGACGTCAGTAACTTGACGTCCGTCCTCAGTAACGGCTGCTGCTGAGCACTGTTGTGTGTCGTCCAGGCGGCTGCAGAGCTGTAGTAGCGGGTATCAACGGCCAGAACCGCCGCGACAGAACCAACCTCCCGCGTCACATTCCCACACACATCCC